TATATATATATATATATATATATATATATATGTTGTGTTTTAGCCTCATCCTTTCCCCCATGGTAAAAATACTAACGTTATGTTTAGTTTACTTCACATAACAACAACAACAACAACATGTTTAGTTTAGAAGTCCCTGGGAGGTACACATAGTTAAGTGCTCAGCTACTAACTACTAATGGTTAGAGATTTGAATCCACTCACTTGTGCCTCAGAAGATAAGCCTAACAATTTGCTTCTGAAAGGTCACAGCCCTGGAAATCCTGTGGAGTAGTTCTACTCTGCAGACATCTGATCAACAAAGGTTGGAATGGACTCCATGGTAACTAACAACATGTTTAGCTTAAAACAATGAGTTGCTGACATCTGGCAGTTGTGTATAGTTATTGAGGCAATCTTTGTTGAGGTTTGATTAATCCAGACACAATAAAAATCCTTCATTTATGTGCCTAAATAAGAATGTTAACTTTGTAAACTACATGTAGCAAGAAGATCAAATGTCACTTTGAAAGTGAAAGTTTAAGAGTGGAACAAAGATGATCCATTGAAAAGAGCTTAAGAATTCATGATTTTTGGGCAGACTCCACTTAACTTCTGCTGCTCAGTAGACCAACTGTTGTTCAATTAATGTATCTGTTAAATGAGTTGAAGATTAACCTAATCTTCATACTATTGCTAATAGAATTCATACTATTGCTCAGTGAAGCTGCAATGAGGTCAGAGTTGAGAAATAGAAATGTGTCGGTGACTGCACCAATAGTATCTCAATTAATTGTTGGCAACGACATTTTAATGAAACATTCAGTAAGTTATTTGTATCTAAATATATGCATATATTGGACTGGATTTTGCCTACAAAGTAAATGGCATGCAAAGACAGCTTCTGAACAACTCTTATTTTGTCATGCCCACCTAACTATAACTATCTCTTAGAGAACCTAATGTTCAGAAAAAACACACTTTGCCTTGTGAAAATCTGAATAAAAGAACCATTGATTTACTGCCTCTGATTTCAAGCAACTGCCAGTCTTTTGGTTAGCAGCTGAATGCTTTAACTACTATGCCACAAGACCTCCTTTTACAAAAAGAAACAAGACCCCAAAAAATTACTTCTTACTTATTTTCTTTAACAAGTAAGACATAAAGATTCTTCAACCTTTTTAGAACATAGTAATTCCTCACCTGATGCTTTGGTTCTTAACAACTCTGATGGTTTACTTGGTTCTCCAATCCCAATGCTATTTCCAGCAACAACACGGAATTCATACTCCACCCAAGGGCTCAAACCAACCACTGTTGCATTGTATGTCTTACCATTGAGGATTTCTGGAACTGAAAAGAGTGGGATACTTAAGACAACTAAATTGGCAGTAGTCAAAAACAATCAATAAAATAAACAAACCTATCATCTATTTTAGAAAATTTCCATGCACACATGAATCACTTACCTGTAGAAACAGCCTGCCAACCCAAAGAAAATGGTGTTCGAGTCTGAATAGTAAATATTTGAATGGGACTGTTATTATCTGGGCCTGGTCTCCAGCTGAGTTGAGAAGTAGTACTGGAAATGTGTTCCACTTTCACATCCTTTGGGGGACCTGGGGGACCTTGAAAAAAGATGTTTTTTGGTATTGGAGGTTTTTAAATTCAATGAGTTGGGTAGAGATAGTTTATTCTTATCTGTTACACTTATAAAGTAAAATACTGAACATAATATGTTTGTAGCACATTATTAGAGATAAAGTCCTATTAATTGAACTTACATGGTAAGAGATTAATTTAGAAATGTTTCCATTGAAGATTAGAAAATATCAGTCATGAGATGGTTTAATATCATGCAGTAGGGAGCTAATCCCAAAAATTTACAAACATTCTCTCTCCTTGTGTTCTCAAAAGCTAACTCAGTAAGGACATGCAACCAACGTGGAGAATTATATAGGTCCATGTGAATTCCACCCTGCTCTGACAAGAATGATTTATTATAAATAGAAGCAAGTCTAAGTTTTAGGGACTGGTGGTGTATACTGAGGCTGACCATGCTATACAAATAGGTAAAACCTGCCCTGTTCAATGTCCATATCCATATTCCTTTTATCCCGGATTCTTAGAGTTTAGGAAAAAAGTCTGTACATGTTGTGTCACTTCCCTAAAGTGATCTGATCCCCGAAAGAGGTAGCATTTTGATATAAAAGTTTTTACCTGTGAATAAAACAAGGAATTATTTATTGTAGCTATTGTTGCTTACCTCTTACAATTATATCAGCTACAGCAGATAAAATTTCTAGGGTTGTTTGTACTATGCACATATATTTTCCTGAATGGTTTAACTGAATATTCCTTATCATCAAATCTCCAACAGATTCCTGCAGATATTAGGGTGAAAAAAATATAAAAACATAATCTCACCCATCTCATTTTAGAGGTGGATAAATATTATATATAACACAGATCTGAAAATAAAAGATGTATTAGTATCAATGCAATTTCTTGAATTGATTTCCTTTATTATCCCTTTTATTATAATTGCATATAGTACACAAACATTTCTATGAATGCATAAAATAAAATAAAACAGATGCAGTTTCAGAAAGAGACAGTGATTATTCATGCAAATAAAGATGGAGAAAATAATTACGAAAAGATGTTGATTCATGTAAAAGACTTGATTCATTTTATTAAGCACTTAACAATTTCAGCAACTTACTCCTCCAATCCTTTCAAAATGAGAAACCCCTTTTTTTAAGTCTATAATATCTCCATTGAAAGACCATACAAATACAACTTCCATGGAGGGGTCATGGGACACCTGGCATGGTAGGACTATACTCTCGCCAACTGTAACATCCATTTTGGAAGGTGGAACGATAATAACAGTCCTCTCTGTTGAGAAAAAAAAAGTTATTATTTAACAAACCCTTACAAAATGATATAGACTGTACCACATTTTCTTCATTATTTTTTATTATAAAATTACATTCATAACATTACAACTGACATAGGTAACAGTGCTAAATAGTCTATTTCAATTTCATATAGAATGAGACAAGCTATATCCTTAAGATCATAACTTTAATACTTTAGGAAGAGAATTATAATCATATGCTTACATGTAAAAGTCTGAATATAACATATTCTTTTTATTCTGACATAGTTTTGATAATAATTTTCCATTAGCTAACAATGTGACATGAATAAGAAAGACAGAAGTTTTCCCCTTTTTTATCCAAATTTTGCAATGCTAGATTCACACTTCCATCATAAAAACCTTCTCTCTAAGCATATCAGTCTCTGGGTCCACACTGTCTCTACAAGTTCTAGAATTCAATTTTCTATTGTTTCTCAGGATAATTCCAAAAGTGTTATGTTAGAGAATTTTTTATTTATATTTTTTTATTAAAAGAGACTTACAATGATAGATAATTTTTGGATTACTTTTTTTTTTTTTTTTGATAACAAAATAGTTTTAATTCTTGAGGACTGAGAACTGACCAAAAAGTTCACTTAGTTTACATAAAGAAATTCTGATAATACGTTAGGATTTAGATTTTCATTATCCTATCAGAATAAATGATGCTTTAAGGGATTTATATTCAGTAACTAGGATTTTAGGCAAACATAAAGAAAAGTTAGTGTGGATTAAGAAGATCCAAAAAGTGGAATGAAGATGCTGGGTAAACTCTTTCTCTAAAAGTCAAACATAAGCTAAAATTAATCCTTCCCAGGGAATGAATTAAGCAGCTCTCTACAAGATAGACTAAAAGCTTTATTTTTATTGCTGTTATTTCCTCATCCTGCTCAAGAAACTAAACCAGGATTGATATTGTATTTGTGGTTTGTACGCAGTAGTGATATGCTAAACAAATAATTTGAGAAAATAGAGTACATGAGAAGTGCCATATCAGCATCGAAGGCAGACTCATTAAGAACCTGTGATATGTAGATGACACAAGCTTGCCTGCCGAGCATGGAAGTAACTCGAAGGACTTAGTAATAAAGATCAAACACTACAGCCTTCAGTATGCATTACATCTGAATGTGAAGAAAATAAAAATCTTCACAACTGAACCAATAAACAACTTCATGATAAATGAAGGGGAAAAAATGAAGTTATCAATGAATTAATTTTACTTGGATCAATTATAAATGTCCATGGAAGCAGCAACAAAATTAATGATATACTACATTGAATCAAGAAAATCAGGGGCAAAAACTTCTTTAAAGTTTATAACTTAAAATGAGTGTGTCAGTGCTGTATCTGTTCACCATTCTTATTAAGTCTGTAGGTTGAGTAAATAATCTGAGAAGCTGGACTATATGGAGAAGAATATGGCATCAGGATGTGAGGAAGATGCATTAGTGACCTGCAATACACAAATGACACAACTTTCCTTGATGAAAGTGAAGATGACTTGAAGCACTTACTGATGACTATCAAAGACTACAGTGTTCAGTATGGATTACACCTCAACATAAAAAAAACAAAAATCCTTACAATTGGACCAATAAGTAAGCAGCGTCATGATAAATGGAGAAAAGGTAGGCATGTGAAAGATGAACAACAAATAAGAAAGAAAGAAGAAAAATTGATACATTTGAATTGTGTTGTTGGTGAAGAAGATACCATGGACTGCCAGAAGAATGAATAAATTGATCTTGGAAGAAGTACAGCCAGAATGTTTCTTAGAAGGGAGAATGGCTGATTTTATCTCTATTACTTTGGTCATGTTTTCAGAAGGGACCAGTCCCTGCAGAAGGGTATCATCGTTGGTGAAGAAGAGGATCAGCACAAAAGGAAGACCCTCAGTGAGATGGATTGACACAGTGCAAGGCAAAATGGGCTCAAACAAAGCAACAATTATGAAGATGGTGCAGGACCAGGCAGAGTTTTATGTTGTTGTACATAGGGTTGCTATGAGTTGTAATTGATTGATGGCACCTAAAAACAACAAAAGGATTAAAAAGCTGATGTCATTTTGATAACCCATGCTATATCTTTTCAATCACCTCAGGTGTATGCAAAGCCGACCAAAGGTGGGGAGACATTTAAAAAAAGAGTTGTGTTGGTGAAGAACTTAAATACATCATAGACTGCTAGATATATAAACACATCAGTCTTAGAAGGAGTACAACCAGAAAGCTCTGTGGAAGTGAGCATAGCAAGACTTCAGCTCACTTACTTTGAAGATGTCATTAACAAAGACCAGTCACTAGAGAAGTACACATACCCCTCATTTATAAACAGGATAAAGTTCCAAAGACCTGGCCTTTATGCAACAGACTATGCTATGCTAAAATGGAGAATGATCACATTGTATCACAAAATGGAGAAAGAACACATCATTATATGACTGCCAAATTTCATCTTACATACTTCCAAACCATGGAGAATCATTGCCAAGTAAAGTTGACACATAACCTTAACCATCACAGTCAGCATTATTGTCACCTTGAACCTCAGCATTAGTTATGTTCAGTCATACATTGTTAATGTGCAAAATATTCAGATAGTATATGTTTGTATATTGTAACTGTGAAATATCAGATAATGAAATAGTCAATAAGTGAGGAGTAAATGTACTTCATATATGGTAGAGGATAGGCAAGGAAAATGCTCAATAAGATTGACAAAATAGCTGAAACAATGGGCTCAAACTTACCAACAATCATGAAGATAGGCCGAGTAGTGTTTTGTTTTGTTATGTATAAGGTCGCCATAAATAGGAACATACCCAATGGTAACTAACAACAACATGGAATAGTGTGGCACTCTATTTTACCAATGTTGTTGTTGTTGTTGTGTGCCGCTGAGTCGGCCCCGACTCATAGCGACCCCTCCTTGGGTTTCCGAGGCAGTATCACTACGAAAGTAGGATTGTCCAACCTTCCTTCCAAGGAGTGGCTGGTGGGTTTGGACCGCCAGCCATCTGGTTAGCAGGCAAGTGTCTTAGCCACTATGCTGCCAGAGCTCCCATTTTACCAATAGAACAGAATGCTTAAATATGATCTTAACATCTAAAAGTTTCAATTGTTTATTTAGTAAAGATCTGGAAGTGGAAAGCAGGAAGAAATAATCTTGCTTTTAAAAGTATATATTGATAATTTCCAGGGAAAAATCAAAATGTATATTATGTTTCTGAATATAATGGAAATATTGAAACTTTTAATCTTCACCAGAGAAGTGTTCTTTTATTTATTTATTTATTTATTTATTTATTAGGATTTGGGTGAAGATTTACAGAGTAATTTCACTTTTCATACAGCAGTTCACATATACTT